GGGAACCCCCCACTACCACCACCAAGCCTTGCAGCTAACCTCTTTCTTGCTGTACAGGGAGCAGAAGGAGCTTTCAGGAGCACCCTCTGGATGGCCTCTCAATCACCAGCAGGGGGCCTGTGATCCTGCTCCAGGACAGGCCAAAGAGAGAAGGTGCCATGGATGGACTGGGTAAGAGCTGGAGTCATGGTATAGGTCAGGTCTGCAAAGCCTGACCTTGCCCTTGAATCCATAATTGCTCCGTAAGGGAGGTGCTGTCCAGTATTACAAAGGTCAATTCACATTAGTGGCCTCTGAACATGAACAGTGAGCCGGGACAAAGCAATTCACATTAGTGGCCTCTGAACATGTCCTGGCTCACTGTTCAAACTGACTCACTACTATTGTCTGCATCATATGGAGGTGATGCCTAGGTGCTAGAGGCATGGGAGTCTGTCTTGAGCAGCAAGATACTAGGTGTGGGAGGCTGTTTGACCACATGATATCTACTCCTCTCCCTGAGCTGAGCAGGCTGGGCGCATGTATAGTAACAGTATTTCTTTTCTGGCAGGCTTGTCTCTGAACACTAGCACATCCTGGACTCTAGTCTGGGCCAGTGGAGCAGTTCTGGGGACAATGTTCCTGTCACTCCTGGCAGCTGCATGTTGGAGATTGAGGAGAAATTTGGTGTTTGAATCTCCTGTGTCTGAAAAATAATAATAAAAAAAATCATTCCAGAGCATCGGTCTGTCTCTTCATTGCCCCTCTAGTTTTGAGGTGCAGATGCCAAACTTGAGAAGTTGCTGAGAAGGGTAGGTGGTTTGGTTAATGAAACTTCCATTCATAGAAGTACTGGGGTCCCAGCAGCACAGGCTACAGTCATCAACTAATGCTGCTCAGTTTAGCTTTGAACACGAACTGTCAGGTCCCGCTGATAGTTTGTGCTTGGCAAAAGCTGGGCCTTGACATACTCCTCTATCAGCAAGAACTTAATATGCCTTGAGGTGGGTGGTGAAATAGCACAAAGAAGCAATGAACGCCCTCTACAAGGAAAGCAATTGCTACATGACCTTATCAAATAGGTTGGTGATAGCTGTAATTGTTCAGCAACGTGACAAGTTGGGATCTGATCACTGGGGCATATAAATTTGAAAAGTCACGCACGATCCTACTAGTAGCGGCATTGTAATTTTCTGCAGGAGTTGCGGCTCTTAGTGCATAAACCATCTCTCTTCTCCACAGAACCCTAGTGCACTAGGTAAGCCCCCTCTGCTCTTGCTCACTCCCAGGCCCTTCTTGTAAAAGGACTTGAACAG